TTTTTTTTTATAGTAACTGCTTTCATACTGTTATTATTGATGTATAGTTAAACAAGCTTAAAAATATAAATAATTTCTAGTTCTTTTGCCCTATATCTGCCCAGCTGTTTGCAGAGGTTTTTTTCTTACCTCATGTCAATCAAATTTGACCTGTAAAAATAAAAACCGTTTTTCCTGCTTGTTCCTTTGAGCAATTAATATTTGACTGCAAGTGTGGGGTTTCTTTGTGCAAATGGTCATCTAGGTCCAGCAAAGTTGCAGGGGTTTTCTGTAAGCACTGATGGGCATGCTGGTGACATCACTTGTAATTGTTAGTTGGGGAGTACTCAAGATCTTATCCTCTTTCCATCAAGGCCTGACTATCTTGCTTTATCAGACTCCACAGGAAGAGGTCTATGTCGCAGCTTATGAATTCCGTCCTGAGGAGGAAGGAGAGTTGTATTTTAAACGTGGAGATTTAATAGAAGTTCTTGACAAAGAAGATTCAAACTGGTGGAAAGGCAAAAACATGACCAGTGGAAATGTGGGATTGTTTCCAGCGACCTATGTGCAAAAGAAAACTTGATTAGGACTCAATTTGTTGTCAAAAAAGTAATGAACTTTTATACTGTTGTAAGTAAGACAGTCAGAAATGTAATTGTTAAGATTGCTGAAACATACTGTACATGTAAGGGCTACAAAGTTGATTATTCTTCCCATAATTAACAATTTATTGTTTGTGTACTGGGTTTGCAAAATAATATAATATATTATGGTGGAATCCTGATTTTTTGAGCCCTCATTTCTTCAGCATCCTCACCACCCAAAGCAGAAGTGTGTAATTTTATCCAAGATATCTCATAGCAAATTTTTATTTTCCCTTGAGGTTCAAGAAATTGGAACTCCATTGTATTATATTCTCGTCTATATGAGGTTCTGGTTTCAGTTTTGCTCCATTAGTGTTTTTCATGAAGAAAGGCGGCACTTAGTAAGGCCTGAACATTTTCTAGTATTTTACCTAGCAGCTTCCAACTTAGTTGCCTGGACTCTTCCCAACCCATGTATTTTATGCAAAGCCTATCCACAAAGATCAATTAAATACCTCCTACTAGCGTAACTCAAGGTCTGTACTGTAAGTTACAAACCAAGTTTTTTCCATTTTTGTTTTTGGTCCAAGTGCATGGGCCATAAATCAAGGGGAATAACAAGGATCCGTAACTTATAGTATGGACAGAGAAGGCAAAGTTAGTAAGATATTTATTAAATCTGTACATGTCTTTGACAGGTTTGGGAACAGTTTCAAATTTTAGCAGGCTGTACAGTAGAATACTACGCAGTAAACTGAGCAATCACAGTGTGTATACATAGTAGCAAAGAGGTAAAAAAATAATAATAACTAGGAACTCGTAGCTGTGGATGATCACTTATCTGTCATCATTGCTGAATTTACAAGTTTCTTCCAAATTTTTGTGGATCAGGTGGTAAATTCCATGCAGCACTTGAGCTAAGTTTGAGTTCAGGACATCTGTAACTCCTTTTAGCTGTTATTACTTTGGTATATAGATAGCGCTTTGCAATAATTCTGTAATATGTACTTTTTATAAACTAAAAAGTAAGTTGAAGAGTGGAAATGGAAGCCCTGGTTCTTATCCTTTTTTGTTCAGAAGGAGCTTTTCCTGAGGCCTTGTGGAAGTTTGTCATTTATATTTTCCATGGTTTCACTTAAAAGTATGTATTTCTTTTGATCTGTATTCATGGCTACTTAAATGCCTTTGTTGATAATTTACACGTAAGTGCTCTTATTGTCAAAATTCTAATAGTCACTCTTTGCCAACTTTAATGTATTTCATAGGTTAAGTTTCATTGCAAGACAACTCTAACCCATGTTGCTTTGTCTCTTTACCTGTGAGAAGCTGCTGTGTTAGCATCATGCTTTTGGAAGCATAAAGTACACACTGTAAGTCTATGAATGGTACAATTGCACTTAACTTAAAATAATTTAGGTGGTACGGTGTTAACGCTGTTATTACTGATAGCTAGGAATGGCTGAAATTAACATAATTATGCAAAGTTTAGTTCCCAGATCAATTTTTTTCATAATGTGTTGTGCAAAAAAACCTATGAAAAACTGCTTGTGTGCATTATGCGTAACTCAACAATAACAATTGAGTAGAATTATAATAATACTTGAGGCTTGATGAAATTTGAGTTTTGACACCCTCCCTGAACTGTTGCTGTAAGAGAACACCTTGGCTAGACTCATTCAAGTGTTAGTGGAGCAGTTTGGATTGTCGAGCAAGAAGGTAAATTGTTAATAAGAGACCACAGCCATTTTCTCTGACTATTTTAACTTCTTGCTTGATGAGATTTTGAAAGAGCAAGGAAACCCTTGCAGACAAAATTATGTAATGTGGTGGGAGTGACAGCTTTATTGGTATCACTTTTGGAGGTTGTTTACTTGAGTGAGAGAGAATTTAAGGTAAAGTTTTTTTTTGTGTGTGAGTAAATTGGATGATTTGGAAGTAGATGAAAGTTCAAGAGAGAAATTTCAAGCCTTGTTCCAAGGGCCTCTCTTCTTTCTGTGCATGGTGTGAAGAACAGAAGCCTGGCAACAAGGCCCTCTTTAGAATAATGTTATTTTAGACTTGTATAGCACAGGCTAACTGTATGAACATAACAAGGTGGCCATAATTTAGGATTGCACTGAAGCTAGATTTATTAGTAAGAATTAATGATCTGCCATATAGTAGGATATTTGCAATTAGATGTAAGCATTATTCAATCATGGTAATTAGTGTAACAAGAAAGTGATTTTCTAGTAAATATTGCTTTATATATACGTTCTCAGTCATCGATTGTCTTTGTGTGATCAATCAACATCAACCCATAAACTTCCAAGACTGATCAACGTCTAGATTCTTCATACAATAATGGTACATTATCTAGCAGCCATGTAGTGAGAATAAAGAAAATCGTCAGTATTCAAAAACCAATTGGGGGGCATTCTCGTCTCCAGAGCCTCCGTTTCTTTTGGTCACGTAGTCACCAAATTAACGACATTTCAAGATGAGTGGCACTGGGAAAGAGAATACTTGAGGGGTAAAAAATGAGGAATTCCAGCCATGCGCACAAAACAACTTCCTTGGAATTACACATGCATTCAGTTGAGTAGTCTATATTTTAGTGTCTTACAGTGTCTTTGGACGGTGCCTACTAAATACAAAAGTCTTTTCGCCAAATTAGGACCATGTGGAAAAAGTAGATCTTAGCAAGGGCAAGGGCTATATGTACTGGAAGCCACAAAGAAAACTAGGGGTAGCCGCGCATTTGATCGAGAAAATTGGCCTTGAATCTCGAATAAAAATGCTGAAGTCAGCATTTTTATGAAAAAGGAAGAATAAATATTTCTTCACAGATTTCCTTAGAATTCGCCTTTACCAACAGAAAAGCAAAGACATTTATAAAGATCTTTAAACTACATGGTAAATGGTAACAAAAAAAAAAA